TATTTTTGTTGGAGAGCCTCCCATATTTCTTTTGATGTTTCTGCGGAAGCAATGATTTCAAATGTCGCTTCATCAAGACCTTGATAAATGATGGTCTTTGCTTTGTTGTCTTTCTTTCTTTCTATTGGCTTTGAGGACTTGCTTTTGTACCACTGGTAGAACATCTTCTGATGCTTTGGACTCTGGTTCATCATAACCATATTGCACAATATCTATACACTCTTGTGAACTAAGAAATGCCTTTAATCTGATGCACCAATTATCATAGTTGTCTTTGGTTAGCTTCGGGATGAGTGTTTGTGCATTTTTTATAGTCATTTTACTCTTTAAATAACTATATCACCTTTTAGGAGTTGAATTTGGCAAAACTGACACCCTAGATGGATCCAGAATGGTCCAAATAGTAGGGAACCGGTCTAACTTTATAGAAAATGAGTCAAAAATAGGGTGAACCGGTCCAAAAACCAATTCGGGTGGTTTGTTGGGTTTGAATCGTGAATATTCCAGGGAATATTCTTTTGGCGTGGCTTGGCTTCGGAATATGGCCTGGAGCTTGGCTCAACTAGTGGTGCGGCTCGTGGCTTAGCTCTAGATCAGCTCAGGTGGCTCGGAGCGGCTCAAACATGGCGCGCGTGTGGCTCAATCGTCTTCTTCCTCAAGGCGCGTGAGCTATAGTACTGAAACTTCAAACGGAGAGTGTGGGCCACCCCGTGCTCCGATTAATCTGATTTTTACATCGTTGAGTTCGTATAGATGAGCTTTACATTTTGGAATGATCAAAATGTATTTTTGATAACTTTGAAAATTCAGATATATCCCAAAAATACCTCTATTTTTTTAGGAACGGGGCTCTGATACCAATTGTTGGTGGGAGAAACCACTTGTGGTGGCTTTAAAACACTTAGAGGAGATAAAACACACTCTTTATTTCAAGAACAAAAGCTTACAATAATGAAAACAAAAGCTTCAATGCATAGGGGTGGTATTTGTTGCAAGCATTTTACCTTTGTTTTGAAGTGGACCTGGTGTAAGGGGACAATAGTGACCAAATATGTGGCATTTTTCACACCGCGTTGGTTTCATTAATAGTCAACTTTAACTGCAATAGGTTTAGAGGCTAAAGGACTATCAATTTTAAATTCATGGACATAAGGGAGGGATGCATCAACTTCTACATATACTCGCACTCAAGCATAATCCAATCTCATGCAATTGTATGTAGATTCATCACATTATAGGGTTTTTTATTGATATAATTAAAGAATTAATATCTCATTTCAAGTGTAAAAATATTAAAATAATAAATAACCCTGCAAAACAAGAGTCGATCTACATAAAGATTAACTATATAAATTATAAATAATATATAAAAATTAACTAAGAGTTAAAGAAATCTTTGAAATGCGAGATTAATATGAGGATTAAATAATTATAAAAACAATTGTAAAGGTTAGAAAATCCACTAATGGTATTAGAAATAAGTACAGTATAAACTCTTTTTATTACTCAACTAGAAATCACACACAAACGAGGTTCTAATCGAATAATTTATCTTTAATAGTTCATTATAAATTTTTAACATGATTATTTTAATTATCTTATTTTAGTAATACCATACTTTTAAATATTGTCAAAAATTCATGATGCTAACTTATGTTAACAACAAATCAAGTTCCTCTCATGATA